AGCCAGTCTCCTGTAGTTCAGACTGGCCTTGAATTTGCTATTGCTATGGATGACACTCCTGATTCTTCTGTTTCCATCCTAGACCGCTAGGATTTCAGACATTCATCATCATACCATTAAAAAAAACCATTGTTTTCTCCAAAAAAAAAAAACCAAACAAGCAAACAAACAAAGACTAAAAAACAAACAATAAAAAAATCTAAGGTGTGGTGATGCACAGCTTTAATCCCAGCACTTGGGAGGGAGAGGCAGGTGGATCTCTTGGATCTCTGAATTTGAGGCTAGCGTGGTCTATAGAGTGAGTTCCAGGGCAGTCTGAGCTACACAGAGAGACTCTGATTTGTGAGTTCTCCCACTTGGACTCAAGCTGACACCCCTGGCCTGGTCATCTTAATGATCATTTAGTGACCCCCAGCCCTTGTTGGCTCCTGCTCTCTGGTGTGTGTGTGTGTGTCTTTTTTTTTTTTTTTTTTTTTGAGACAGGGTCTCTCTAAGTTGTTCTGGCTGTTTTGAAACTCACTATGATATAGACTAGGCTGACCTTGAACTCAGAGATCCAGCTGCCTCTGCGTCCTGAGTGCTAATGGCAGGCACCACCACACCTGGCCTTAGTGAGGGTTTTTGTAGGATTTCTCTATTTTTCTAGTGCTCTGTCCTTTAAAAGACAATTCTTTCTTTATAATCTCACTATGTAGCCCAGGCTATCCACGAACTCATGCTCCTCCTCCTTTTGCCTCCCAAGGGTTAGGATTACAGGTGTGAGCCATCAAGCCTGGCTCTGCTGTGCAGTTAAAAGCCAGCATTCTTGCCCCGTCTCTAGAGAGAGGTGGGAGCACTCTGGCTCCTCATCCCTGGCTGGAGATACCGGTTCATCCCTCCATGTGTGAATACGGTGCCTCTTGCCCATGTTTCACAGTCTGGTGGCCCCACCAGATGGGTGACAGGTCTCTCTGGGTCTTGGTTTGGGCTAGGGTTTGGATAGTTGCCCCCACTCCCAGCACCCTGTCCTGCATGGTCTATGAGCAAGAAGATGGCTGGCCCCAGAAATGCCTGACTGGACCTGGCTAGGAAGTGGAAGAGTCAGACAGGATGCTGTCTCCTGCAGGACTCCTACCCGAGGTTCCTCAAGTCTGACATATATAAGGGCCTGCTGGAAGATGCTGTGATTCCGCTGGAGACGAAGCGCAGGTGAGCCATGCCAGGATCCTATATCCACCGAGCAGGGAGGGCCCTGCAGAAAGACGACCCAGGTCCTCAGCACTTTCTTATCCCCAGGGCATTTCCATTCTTGCGGAAGCCTCTGCACTCAAGCCCCAGCCCTGTTCTTCAGTCTACCCCTGGGGAGCCTGCAGCAACCAGCGCCCCTGCAGGTGGCAACGGGGAGCAGTAATTGGATCTTGCCAGTCACCTCACTTTTCCATTACCTGCCTAACACCCTGTGGGGTCATGATCTCCTGGATACTGGGCTCCCAGCCAGTATCGCCCTGTGGAGAGAGCCCAGCCTGGCTATAAGGCACTTGGGCCTCCACTAAGGAAATCCTCCCCTGCCTAGAAGGGACTGGTCTAGCCGCTGATTCCTAGTGAAGAGATTTCATTGGCTGAGCCTTACCAGGACAGGACTTGTTCCTAGAAGGCAATCCTCAGAGTTCCTGGTACTCTGGCATCTTAAGTTCAAGACTAGGTGGTCATCTTTTCTCTAGAATGTCAAGTTAGTGATCTGTGAAGAGATACTGGTCTCTGGCTATGCCATCCTATTCAGGAGGGCTCCACCACGGTGTAGGTTCCTTGTTCTGCTGGAGCTTCTTAGTAGACAGTATCTGCAGGTACCACATTCACCACTGTACATGGCTTCTCTTCCACCTGTCTTACCGGATCTGTAGAAAGGCAGCTCCATGCTACTGTTCTGGTTGTGATGCTCCCAGACCCCTAAGGGCAGGTCTTTGCCAAGGAACAGTTTCCCTCTCCAGGCTGTCCCAAGCCACTAGCATTGCCATCCCTGCCCCAGAACTAGAGATACCTTCTGCCATGCAGCTCCCACCAGGGTTGTTCTCCAGTCTCTGCTCACTACTCCTTTCTTCAGAAATAAAAGATTCAAGCCCTTGCATGTGATGTGTGGCATCTGTGGTGTAAGCATGTCGTATATATTGGTGTGTGTGAAGAGCCTGGGGGAGGGGGAAGATCAAGGGTATGGTTCTGGTATAAAAAGCAGCCACTACAGGTCTGGCAGGATGATTCAGCGGGTAAAGGTGCTTGCTGTCAAGTCTGATGACCCGAATCCCCAGGACCTACATGGTAGAGAGAACCGATTCCCACAAATTGTGCTCTGACTTCCATACATACCTCTACTAGGTTCGAGACTAGGTGGCCATCCTATCTCTACTGTGGAGGGTGCTCATCGTGCTTGGGCTGCTGAGTGGCCCAGTCCCCTCAGACTTTGGTGGTCTCAGTCTGCAGCCCTGAGGCCCTTCGTCTTAGTGCAAGAGAAAGCCAGAGACTTGTCAAAGAAGGTGTGAGCAGACAGGATGCTCCCATCTGTCCAGTGTCCCCTAGAGCAAGTGTGCTCAGCTGCAGGAGACAAAACCCAAAGCAAGCCCAGGGACCCTAAGAAACCTTGGGCAGGCTAGAGGGGAAACTGCCTGGTCCCTTAATGATCATAAACAGGCCACTGTCCTCAACAGCCACTAGGTGGCCTTCGGGGAGCAGGGTAGAGAGCACAACCCAGCCTAACTGGTGTCTGCCCTTTCACCCTGCACCTCATCCTGTGCAGTGGAGAGCCTGGTTCCTGAAATCTGGAGGTACACCCTTCTCCCGCATCGCCCTTCCTTCTCTGAGTGATATGTGTGCTGAGTTATTTTTATTTCTCAGGGTGGAGGGACCCACTTCCTGCCTTGAAAACACCTACCCATCAACCTCAGCCCTCGTGTTGACACCTCAGTCTTTTGGGCACATGCACACTTAAATTTTTAAACATGTGCAGTTATGAGAACAAGTTTAGGTTGAGCAAATTCCAAGGTTCTCAGAACTGATACTCTCAGGTCAAGCCCTGAAACCCTTCCAGGTTCTCCTGTGCAGTGACAGCCAGAGCTGACCTGATCTTCCATTTCATTACATTGCATAGCAGAACACAGAAGACATGATGCTAGGGTAGAGGTGCCTGCCGAGACAGCAGGAGCCGCTGTCCTGGTGACCATCCCAGAGGCTGTGCAGACTACAGGCTTGCTCCTATTAGGCAAGCCTGTGTAGAGCTCTCATTTTAACTGCCCTCTTAACCTTGGCTCTGAGACCTGGCAATTCCTGGTAATGGCTTAGAATAATCTCTTTGTGTATTGCAAGCCGAGAGACATCCAGACAGACTGCAGGCTCACAATGAGCTCCTGGGGCTTTCCCCCCATCAGTGCAAATCATTTATTATGTTGTTTTCCATGGTGGCTAGGGTCATGGGACTGCTTTGGCTACAGAGCTAGGGATCTGGTCTGAGCAGAGCTGTTCTGTTGCCCTTGGGCCTCAGGAGCAACAAGGCACAAGGTGAGACCTGTATCAGGTAAGCACCAGAGAGTAGGAAAAGGGACACGCCTGCTGTGCTCAGGAAAGGCTGCAGGGACTTTGTGCAGACAGCAGGTCCAGTGTACTGAGGAAGAGACAGACTCAACGTGTATTCCAGAGGTCCCTCAAGTGTACCCACAGGCTCTAGTGCAGAGAAAACTCTTGCTGCTCAGGAGACATGCTCCCTTCTGCTTTGTGAAAGCAGCTCAGGTTCCAGCTGCGGCCCTGAAGCCACCCGGGGCCCACCACCCTCTGAGCTCTGTGACTCCTGAGAGACAGTGCAAACAAGGGGAGAGCCAGGCTGGAAGGAGAGGGACGGACAGACACCACAGGCAGGGGCACCCTACAGCAGCGGCTTTTTCAGTGGAGTGTGAGAGGGTACGGAGGCACTAAGTGGGGGGCTTCCTGAAGGCTGGCTTGGCCCATACTGGCCCAGAGATACCACAGGGAGGCCTACTGGCCTTGACCAGATCACATGGGTCACACAGTGAGACCTTTGAGGGAGGACATGGCACAGGCAGGAGACTGGAGGTGCCCCCAACATCCTTGGGTATAGCTGGTAAGGCCATAGCTCTCAGAGGGCCAGAATGACCAGGGCAAGCAGTGAGGTCAGCATGGAGGCTGAGGGTAGGCCAACTTTCCAGGAGGTTTTGTGTTCACAGTTGGAGTCTCCATCTGCTCCAGCTGCCACCACCTACACCTCACTCCGGTACCGCAGGCGGGTGAAGCGGTCTCGAATAGCCTGGTCGCTGTCTGAGCTGCTGTCGCCAAGGTGGACCACTCTACTGCTAGGAACGAGGTCTTGCACTTTGTGTTTGGTCACAGAGACCAGGCCAGGCATGTCTGAGCTTGGTGGGCCCGTCAGGAGCACATAGGCAGCATGGCGACTTGGCTCGAACAGGATTGCTGTGGGGGACGTCAGTGGTGCTCAGGACTGGCCAGAGCAAACTAGCACAGGGAAGGTCCGGACCCATTGCCCGAGCCCATGCTCACCATCAAAGGCCACAATGTTGGCAGTCACGTTGGCTAGCTCCAGCAGGATGCCAGGCAGGGTGGGGTGGAACATGTACAGGCTGTGCTGCATGTCTTGGAGACCCTAAAGTGAGAACACAATGCACCTGACCTGCCGCACCCAGGCCACCGCCACGTCTAAGTGCGCAGCCCTCAAGTTACCTTCAAAAGCGGTTATCCATGTGTTATCCTTGTTTAGACTATGTCTACCAGGGTCCCCCAGAAAGCCGTTTCCTGGTCTGTGAATATCTGCTAGCCCCTGCTTCCCCCACCTGAACCTGGTCCTTCCTGATGTTCATAAGCACCTGCCCTCCCAATTACAGGCCCACCCCACCTCCAAGATCCTTCTCCTGTAGCCCAAGGCATGCCATGATCCTCCCCCTTGGCCTGGACCCCCTTTCTATAGGTCTGCTGCTCATGCAGTGGACTTCTGGTGGTCCAGTCCCTGGCAGCTTCCAAGGGGGATCTAGGTTCGGCCCTTCTGGCACCAGATCCCAACAAGAAGTATTTCCTGAACATATGACCCTGTACCATCTCATCGGCACTGACAAGCTCATGGAGGCCCCAGAAGAAGAAGGCTGAGCGGTGGTCTGCTGTCATCAGGCTTGTGGATGGTGGGCCCCCAGGTAGGCTTGGAAGGTGTTGGCTCCACAGCATAGACCCAGTACTGAGGTCCAGAAGTAGGATCTAGGGAGGGAAGGGACACTACTGGCAGACAGCCCCAGCTTGCTCAGCCATGCCAGCCCCAAAGGTTGCTCTCTGAATCACCTCCCCATCAGGGCTCAGCACTGTCTGCTTTCACAGTTTATCATCAGCCGTTGACAAGGTAGATGCCCAATCTACACAAGAAGCCCAGCCTACCTGTCTATCAATACTGGTTCCATTTTCAATAACCACAGCCAAGGTGTCTGGTTTGTAGTGGCCAAGGATGGGTTTTCTGGAAGGATTAAGGAAGAAGACCTCACAGAAGGTCTTGGTACAGGAATTTGAGATGAAATTTCCATGGCTGCAGCTCCTGGGTTGGATGGGGCTACCCACATCTAGACCCAGGATGAGGGGCTAGTACTTGTGACCGACAGCTTCAGAAGCCCCTCCAGTGACAAAGAACAGATCCAGGGACAGCAAGGAGACCTCTAACAGAATCACACAGGCCTTGCAGTCCATTGTCCATCCCCCCTGCCAGTCAGCAGGACATGCTGAGGTCCTGAGCAGGCATGCATCCCCACTCACTCAGCAGCAACTGCACATACCACATACCTCAGAACCTGAGTTGCACCAAGGGTCCACCTGGGCACCAGATCTTGTCCATCCAGCAGCATACAGGCCTCAGAGCTCACAAGGAGCACGTCCTGGCCGGCTTTCCCTGGGACATTCATCAGGTAGCGAACTGCTCCAGAGCTAGACGAGGAGAGTGGAGGTGGTGGGGGGAGCATATGGGTCCTGTCTCCCCAAGATGGGCCTGTTGAGATTCTTCCCTCAGGCCCCCATGGTGTATTTCCACGTTTCTCAGTTCCCTAGCTTGGAAGTATAAATGAGATGCTGTTTGTGGAACAAGGCTGATCTCCCCAGACAATATTTTTCTCTACTACTGGGGTGAAAGCCAAGCACACTATCATGGGGCCACCCCAGCCTTCTCAGTTTTTACTCTGCTTTTGCTCGCCCACTTTTTATTTCCAAAGACATGGTGGCCTAACAGCACTACAAGGACCTAGTTTGGTTGTCCTGTGCTCCACACAAGGTTGTCCCTAACTGAGACCTGTGTGTCCGACAAACCTGGGCAGAAGCCTCCGGTGGGCAGAGCTACTAAGCATATTCTCCCAGTAGGAGTCTTCCTTAAACTGGCCATCTCTCCCAGTGACTCTCTCGTAGAGACGCTTCACAGAGACGCCACAGAGAGCACTTGCTGTTCAAAACACAGAGGGACACAGTCACCATGGGGACCAAGTGCATCCATTAGTCCCACCTCTGGAACCACACCCAGTCTAGCCCTTGAGCTTCCTGATTGTTGCTTATCAGCTCATGAACCAGAGTGGCCACAAGGAGGCCAGTCATCAATTTACATGCTTCTTTACCTAGCCCAGAACCCAGTGTTCTGTCCAGCATCACTTCAGGAGAAAAGCCCATCCCAAGAATGTGGCATCCAACATACCACAGGGCAGGAGAATATAGTGAGCACCCGTTCTGGTCACATGGAGGAGGGCGCCACCGTCTCCATCCACACCCAGGCTGCCTCTGTGGCCAATCTGGTACCCAGTGCTGCCTGAATAGATAGCCCCGCTGACCTGGAGTAACAAAGAGCAGTAGGGAAGAGCGAGAACCAGCTCCATGGGAGGGCAGGGGAGCTTTAGGGAGTTGCAGAGAAGGTGGTCAACACTCTTTGGATCTGGGGGGAAAGTATTTTGAGGAGAGTGACCAACAGGGAGCATTGTGACTGTGCTGCACAGCCTGCTGGGAAGCATGGTAGTTGTAGGTCATGGGAGCTGCAAGCTCACGCCAACCCATACACAAGCCATGTGTGTTCTGCCACTTATAGGGAAGCCAGCAAATTCC